CTCACGATACGTGGAAGAATCCAAATTCTTTTCTTTATGAATTTGATTCTCTCTGTTTTGGGATAGTTATTACTAATACTTCACAAAAAGTCACTGCAAGCTATTTGCCAATACTCATTGTCCTTCCATAAAGAGGAAATTTCCTCATTCTTTAAAGGTACAATAATTTCAGCTGTTTCTTTCCCAGTCAGTTGACGAAGCCTTGACTTACCTTTCAATATCAAATCGGAGATCTTTTCTACATATGTTTTCAATTTTTTATTCTGTTTATGTGGCAGAAATACCCAGTCTAGAAGGATGTCTTCCCTCTGCATTAATATTCCTGAAGGGTATTCTCTAGATGGTAAAATAACCACAATACAGTCCACCTTTGGATCCACACGGTCCACATGGGCTTCTAATATTCTCTTTTCTACCCATTCGAATTCTTTTTCAGCCTCAGCTGATAGTACTCGTGGGCTTTTTAGGTCTTTATCTCCTTTTAAAGCCATTTTCAGGTGTTTTAAATCATGCCCTCTATGCCAATAATTGTCTGTAATAGAGAGATTTCTCCTAATAGGTTTTTAAAGATTATTAAGAGTCCGGTAATGATCTCTTCTGATCTGTACTTTCTGCGGTCTATATTTCTGATCATCTATTTTATAACCTAAATAGTTAATAGAATCTCCTCTTTGTATTTTTTTAGGGCAATTTGTAATCCCCAGCGAGGCAAAGTTTCCTTTGCTGCTTCAAACATCTTTTCCAAAGTATCCTTATTTGAATCAGACAGTAATATGTCATCCATATAATGATATATTAACGAATGTGGAAATTTTCTACGAATTATTTCTAGAGGTTTATTCACAAAATATTGACACAAAGCTTGGCTGTTTAACATACCTTGAGGTAGTACCTTCCAATGGAATCTCTGTACCGGACGGGAATTATTATAGGTAGGTACCGTGAAGGCGAACTTTTCTGTGTCGTTTTCTTGTAACAGTATGGTGAAGAAGCAATCTTTTAAGTCTATAACTGTAATTGGCCAATCCTTAGGAATTAGAGAAGGTAACAGCATCCCAGGTTGTAGAGACCCCATAGGCTGAATTACCTTGTTGATGGCTCCACGATCAGTAACCATTATCCACTTACCAGACTTCTTCTTGACAACAAAAACAGGTGAATTCCATGCACTAGTTGATTCCTCAATATGTCCAGCGTCTTGCTGTTCCTGAACTAACTTCTCCAAAGCAATTAACTTCTCAGATGTCTTAGGCCATTGACCCACCCATACGGGTTCATCTTTCAGCCATTTTAAGGGTAGAGTTTTGGTTGCTCTGTAGGTTTGGCACTAGCATCCTGTTTCTGTACAGGCTGTACATTTGGCATCTGTTTTCTGTACTGCCTTACTATATTCTTTCTACCACTAAGGGCTTGTCTATAATTCCTAGCTGATACAGGAGGAATGTTAATCTGCTTATTCCATTGTTGGAGTAGATCACGACCCCAGAGGTTTATAGCAATATCTGCAACATATGGCTTTAACCTTCCTCTCTGTCCTTCTGGCCCAATAAAGTCAATCCATCTAACGCTCTGTTTAACTTCAGATAGGGTTCCAATCCCTAAGAATTGAACGTTAACCTCTTTTAAAGCCCAATTGTGGGGCCAGGACTTCTGATTAATGATAGTGACGTCACTTCTAGTGTCTACAATGCCATTAATCACCATATTATTTACCATAACTGGTAACTTGTATCTATGATATTGTATAGAAGTTTGCCAAAATACCTGTTTTGTATCTCCTCCTGATATAATTGATTCATCCTCTGGAGGTAATGTATTATCCAGTGCTGTATTATTTACAATGGGCAGTGGAACTTCTATTTGTCCTGGGATAGTCTGTCCTCCACTGTCACTGGGAATGACCAGATAATATTTCTTTCTGGGGCTCAATTGAGCCCCTGATCCCCGTTTCCCGGCTTTAAAGATCTACCTTGTCTACCTCTTGTGGACCAGCATTTGTCAGTCCAATGTTGGCCCTTTCCATACCTCCTGCAGAGACCAGGAGGCTGAGGCCTTCTGTTTGATGCATTCCTGGTAAAAGTATTCTTTCGAGGATTGCATTGTCTACAGTTCCAACTAAGATTTCCTATTCTATCACAGTTAAAGCATGCGGCATCTTTATATCTGTTAAAATTATTGGAGATTGCCTTCCTACCCAGGCCTCTATATCATCACAGATAGGGTATTTGGCATTCTGGTGCCTCCTCAAGGCTGTAGAAATAACTTTACCTACCCACGCTCCCGTATCCTGACTTTTACATTCCAGGTTCGCTGTATGTAGGACCCATTCCTTCAATGGTGCTGATCTTATTTTTAATGGCCAAATTACCTGCCTGCATTGAGGATTCGCGTTCTCATATGCCAAAGATTCTATAAGGAGTCACCTGGATTCTGGATTTGCTACCTGTACTTCTTCTGCTCTGTATAATCTCTCTTAAAAATTCAGTGAAGCTTTCCCTTGGGCCCTGTAATAACTTGGTATCGGGTTGCATTATCTCTCCTGTTTCACAAACCTTATCCAAGGCATTTAAAGCAGCTGTACGGCATAAAGACAACATGTGCTCGTCATATGCAGATTGAACCTACGTGACAGCATAAGGACCCTCCCCAAGAATCTTGTCTTGGGGTACTTCATGACCGTTCTTTAATTCCTGAATCTCTAAGGCTTTCGCTTCTTGCCTCCATAAAGCTCTCCATTGAATTTGACAAAAATTTTCGAGCACTGCCGAGGCTAATTGGGCCCAGTCTTTTGGGATTACTTTATTTACAGTCGCCCATGAGTTTAGGAGCTCTCTGACTAAGGGAGAATGAAGACCATACGAAACAATGGCCTCCTTGATTCCCTTTTATATCCTTCATCTGTATAGGTTCCCAGTGATAAGCAATGGGAACATTTGATTGTTTTTTCATTGCTGGCTTTTCTGTTACAGATACTAGGAAAACCATAGGTGAACGCAAGGCAACCTTAGGGAGATATTTCCAGCATTTGAGAGGTGTTGGGAAACTCCTGTCCTGACCTGTTGCCTGTATGTCTGATTCTGAAGTATCAGAATGAACGTCTTCTAAATCCTGTAGTCTATTCATCATTGTTTCTCTGATCTCTTGAAGTTCTTGGGACAAATAATTTTCTAAGGACGTCATGGAATCTTTCATTTTTCTTTGCATTCATCATTTACACGTGATTCCAAATACTTAATATTCTCATCTTTAGAAAGTACCTCAATGGCATGTAAACTCTCTTCCACAAATGATATTTTATCAGTTAGTTTGTCATTGCTCTCATACATGGAACAATTCTTTTCTGTTAGCATTTCAATCTTATGTTCCAGTCTTTGCAGTTTGCTAGTGAAATCATCAAACTTGGAACAGTTTTGTTGGTTAAATATTTCAACATTATGTTCCACTTTTTCTATTCTATCTGTTGAACACATTTTTCCTGAAAGTAATTCAATTTTGTGTTCCGTCTCTTTAAACCTGTTTTTCAGACCTACATCATCATTTTAATATCCTGAATATTTTCTACCAACCCTTTCTTACTATCCTGCAAGGAATTTTGCATTTCCTGAATTCTTTGTATTAAGATTTCAAAAGTATCCTGCGATGACCTTATGGCCTGTATAAGTTTTGTCCTATTTTTGAGCCATTTCTTTAGCAAATTTATATTGATTATGAAACTAGTAATCACCATCATGGGTAGGAAGTATCTTTCAGGTAGGTCCTCAACCCTTTCTAAAATCCCATCTATACAAAAAACAAGAAAATTCTTAATATCTTGCATCATTATGTTAGCTGACATTGTATAAAGCAGTTAAGTTTGTTACCAGTGGAGTAATTCAGGCCAAAATCAACAGGCTGCCAGCAAAAGAGCACGTGGCTGAAGTCAGCAGGCTGCCAGTAAAACAACACGTGGCCGCGAGAGAAATCTCGGAATACCACCTAACCTTACCGACAGATAGAAGGTGCTGGTTCCTGGCAGCAGGAATCGTGCCTTTCCAAATGAAGTGGTGAGGAAATTAGTGAAAGGAGAGTCTATGTGTGCCTGGATGGGCAGAGGAGCAGCTGCTTTTATGGGCACCTGGATCCGGATTCCAAAACTTCTGACACCAAATGAGGGTCCAAATGATGCTGTAACGATAATCGACACACTTACTGAAAGTAAAACTCAGTATTTATTGTAGAAATTACTCGCAAGATACCAAACTAGTAACCCAGATGAGCCAAGTAGTTTTCTGCTGCCGAACCGGAAGCCGAAATCCGGGGAAAGAGACCAAGACTTTCTGTGTGCTGTCTTTTATGCCTTCCCCCATAATGCCCCCTAGCAATGCCCAAAAGTGGGCCTGGCTAGTGACGTAGTTCATCGCCTACGTACATATACATCTTTACGTCCATCCGTATACCTCTTTAGTCATGCCTAAAGTGGGTGTGGTTAGCGGTGTGGTGAACCGCTCTTACACATCTGTATGTGACTCTAGTAAGTCACATGGTTAATGGGGGCATACAGGCTTCCTCCTACAATGGTAAAATGTTTTCACAAGGCCTATAATATGCCCTCCCAATGGTCTGCCACCTCATGCAATGAACGCTGGCAGGGAGAATGAGGATGAAACCAGTGAAGGGTTAAAATTGGCTAGGGGTGGCAAACAGGTAACCACATTTGAAATTTATCAATATCTACCCCAAAGCACTGATTATCAATACCCCCAATTACCATAATCCAGAGTTTGGGCATTCCAAACCTGGGCATTGCAATTCTGCTGACACTGACTTGCAACTTTGGAACCCCAAAATTTTCCTTGAGTAACACAACTGATTCTGCTTGATCCCCTGCAGGAGCCTAATGCCCGCTGACCATTTGTGCGAAGCTTGCCGAGACCTACATCTGGACATTTGGTCGTTGTCATCTTGGTAAGCAGCATTGTTTGTGTCCCACTACCAGTTATAGCTATGCCTTCTGAGGATGCGGGTCTATGATGATAAACCAAAGTCATGAAGAGAGGTGATGACATAAAAATCATGCTCACGGGGTTCCGCTGAGGCCGAGGCTAAAGGACAGGGTAGAAATTGTGGCCTAGTCTCCTTAGGCCCTTCTCACAGGCCAGTGCACAGGCCCTCATTCACCCAGCAGTGTTTCTCCATCTAGGGAATCCGTGAGATCCTGGTGCTCTTCTTATTAGAGCACTGAGCTTGCCTCAGAAGGCATTTGTTTGGGAAATCTATGTATGTCGATGCTGGCCAGCATCAGCACTCTACTCATTTCCATCTCTTCTCTTCTGCATTTCAGTGATCGAGGAGGCAGACATGGTGCCCAATCTCTTTGCCTTCAGGTACGTGGAAATATCAGCTCAAGTGCCTAGGTCTCGTTTGGATATCTGCCTCCAAACATTAGAAAGCATGATCTTCTAGGCATCCAGTGAAATTTAAGCCATAGAACTTGGGCTCTCCCTTCCTTTTGGGAATCCCTTCTGACTAAGACTTTAATAAAAGGATGGTATTTAAAGCGGCCTTGTCTTTTAGAATTTCAAATAGTAGGTATTGTGTAACTGAACAGTGAATTTTCAAAGAGGCGGTACCGAAGAAATGGGTCAGGACGTTCAGTCCATTTTCCTTGCACAGCTCATTGATAGGTAAATGTATTCCTCAAATGCCTTCCATAATGATTGTTACTGCCTTGGTAAGAGCTTCATGTTCTCACTGTGTCAGGAAGTTTTCATGCTCCAATCTTGTACAGTTGGTGCTCAGGTGTGTCCAGTGTGTAGGCCCTGGACTGCAGGGAGATCACTGGGTTACCTTTCTTAAGGTCAAAAGGGAGGCAGAGACTCACAGTGTTCTAGAGGACTAAAGCACATATCAATAAGGAAAACTCAGATACCTTTTCTTTTTCTTTGGATTAGCGAACTTGTCCTGCCAGGCAGGCATCAGGCCAAATGAGGCAATTTGACAGGGTACAACTGGCCAGGCATTCCTATCTTCACATAGGTGCATAGGCTCAGCATCATGTGGATACCCACTCACCAGACATAAGTGGAATGAAATTTCAAACACATGAATGACATCCCAAGGTATAAAGGTGTCCATTCTTCATGTGATAAAGAATTGGCCAAAAGAAAATGTGCTGGGATCCTATGCATGTGGTACTTGGGCAATTAAGAAACTTGAGGTTATGTATCCTGCAATGGAGTGTAGTCAGTGATGTCACAGGGCAATAGGATAGTGCTGTGCAGAGCAGATGACATGTCTTTGACCTTGTAAGACACAGTGCATGATCAGATTGTAAAATGTTTTCACCAGGCCTATAGTGTGCCCTCCCAATGGTCTGTCACCTCATGCAATGAATGCTGGCAGTGAGGATGAGGATGAAATCAGTGAAGGGTTATACTTGGCTGGGGGTGGCAAACAGGTAACCACATTTGAAATTTATCATTATCTACCCCCAAATCCCGGATTATCAATGCCCCTAAACTTCATAATCCAGAGTTTGGGCATTCCAAACCTGGGCATCGCAATTCTGCTGACACTGACTAACAACTTTGGAATCCCAAAAATTTCCTTGACTAAGACATCTGAATCTGCTTGATCCCCAGCAGGAGCCTAATGCCCACTGACCATTTGTGCGAAGCCCACCAAGAGCTACCTTCTAGACAGATGGTCTTAGTCATTGTAGTAAGCATCATGTTTGTGTCCCACTAGCAGGTATAGATATGCCTTCTGAGGATGCGGGTCTATGATGAAAAACCAAAGTCGTGAAGAGAGGTGATGACATAAAAATCATGCTCACTGGGGTTCCGCTGAGGCCCAAGCTAAAGGACAAGTTAGAAATTGTGGCCTAGTCTGCTCAGGCCGTTATCACAGGCCAGAGCACAGGCCCTCATTCGCCAGAAGTGTTTCACTGTCTGGGGAATCCTGTGAGGTTGAGGGTCTCTTTAGTGGAGCATGTGTGCTGCCAAAGAAGGAAATTTTTTGGGTACTCTATGTATGTCAATGCTGGATGGCATCAGAACTCTGCTAATGTCCATCTCTTCTTTTCTGCATTTCAGTGATCCAGAATGCAGACATGTTGCCCCAGTCATTTCACCTTCAGGTAAGTGAAAGATCAGGATAATTTCCTAGGTCTCTTTTTTATATCTGCCTACATATATTTAATGGCATAAACTTCTAGGAATTCAGTGACACTTGCAGCACAGAACATGTGCTCTCCATTCCTTTTTGGTATCTCCTAGACCAATTCACATGTGAAAAGGATGGCATTTCAAACTGTCTTTACTTATATAATTCAAATCATAGGTATTTGGAAATAGAGCAGTGACTATTCAGGGAAATGGGTCACAATGATTGGTTCAGGATGAACAGGCACTGTGCCTTGCACAGCTCAGTGTTAGGTAAATGGTACCTTGAAATTCCTGGCTTGGGGTGTCTATCTAGCTCTCATGGTTATTGTTACTGCATGAGTAAAATTTTCATTTTCTCACTTCGTCAGGATGTAGACATGCTCCAAAATTTCAAACATGTTGCTCATGAATTTCCACTATGCAGGCTCTCAACGACAGTCATATCACTAGGTTACTTTTCTTAGGCTCATAAAGCAAATGGAGACCCGCACTTTTCTCATGCTCAAATGTACATATTAGTCAGGCAAACTCAGATATCTTTTCCTTTTGTTATAATTAGTGAACTTGTCCTGACATGCATGCATCAGGCCAAATGAGGCAATTTGACAAGATGCAATTGTTCAGTCATTCCCCTCTTTGCCAAGATGCACAGGCTCATTATCATGTGGAGACCAAATCTTCACACATGAGTTTCATGGAATTTCAACCACATGAATGACATTCCAAGCAGCAAAGGCTTCAGATGCATATGCGATAAGGAATTGGCCAGGGTACAGGTGTAGGTATCCTAAGTAGGTGGTGCTTGTACAACAAAAACCTTGAGGGTACACATCTTACAATGTTGATTAGGCAATGATTTCAGAAAAAATGTGATAGAGCTATGCAAAGAAGTGGAGATGAATGGTCATGGAACTTGTAAGACACAGTGCCTGATCAGAAGCTAAAATTATTTTACCCAGACTTATAATATGCCTTCCCAATTGTCTGTCAGCTCTTTCTATGAATGCCAGCAGTGAGAATGAGGGTGACACATTTGAAGTGTAAAACTTGAATAGGGGTAGCAAACAGGTAACGACCATTATAATTTTTCATTTTCTCTTTCACATTTTGATTACAAATTGTCCAAAACTATCTTGCTAGAGAGTTTGTGTGTTCTGAAATTGGGCATTTCATTCCGCTGACACTGACCTGTTATTTTGGTGGCATAAAATTTTCCTTTCCTAAGAGAACTGTTTCTGCTTGATCCCTTGCAGCAACCTAATGCTGGCTGACCATTTGACTGAAGATTGCAGAGATCATCCTTCTAGATTGTCTTTGTTATCATGTTAAGTAGCACTGTTTGTGACCCACTATCAGATATATCTATGCCTTCTGAGGATGCAGGTCTATGATGACAAACCAATGTCATGCAGAGAGATGATGACATAAAAATCATTCTCAATAGGATTGCGATGAGGTCCAGGCTATAAGACTGGGGAGAAATGAGAGCCTAGTCTACTCAGGCATTTCTCATTCGCCAGTGCATAGGCCCTCATTCACCCCGCAGTGTTTCCCTGTCTGGGTAATTTTGTGAGGTCCAGGTGCTCTTCTTTAGGAGAACACTGAGCCTACCTCAGAAGGCACATGTTGGGACAATCTATGTATGTCAATTCTGCCAGGAATCAGCACTCTGCACATTACCATCTCTTCTCTCCAGGATTACAGTGATCAAGGATATTGATTGTGTGGCCCAATCATTTCACATTCAGGTAAGTTGAAAATTCAGGTTAACTAACTTGGTTGCTGTTGGTTTTCTGCCTTCAAATATTAGAAAGCATAAACTTCTAGGAATCCACGGATATTTAAGACATAGTACTTGGGCTCTCCCTTCCTTTTGGGAATTCCTTAGGCCTATTCCCATGAGAAGAGGATGGTAATTCAAACTGCCTTTTATTGTAGAATTCCAAATCATAGGTATGGGGAGACATAGCTGTGACTGTTCTGGGAAATGGGACACCTGTGCAGTGTTCAGCTCAGTGATAGGTAAATGTTACCTTTAAATTCCTGGCTTTGGGAGTCTATCTAGCACTCATGCTGATTGTTAGTCCTGGGGCAAAAACATCATGTTCTCCCAGTGTCAGGAAGGTGACATACTCCAAACATGGCGCTCATGCATGTACACTATGCAGTCCCTCTTCTACAGGGAGATCACTAGGTTACTCTTCTTGGGATCATAAAACAAATGGAGACTCACTGTGTTCTGGTGCTTAAAGGTATATATCAGTTTTGCAAACTCAGATACCTTTTCCTTTGGTTAGAATTATTGAACTTGTCCTGACATGCGTGCATTAGGCCGCATGAGGCAATTCAACAGGATGCAATTGGCTGGTCCCCTGGTCTCCCTGGACCAGCTAGTTTCCTGGTATTGTTGGTGGGAGAGAAAACCTGGAATCTGGGGTGCTTGGCTCCCACCGGGATTAGAAGCTCTGTGCAGTTCCCAGATGATCCCCAGGCACTGGAACACAGGCCCAGAAGCAGGGCTTGTTGTACCTGATCCCGCCACCGGAACAGCAGTTTCCCTGGTCTCCCTGGCCCCTCTGGTTCCTGGACCCTCTGGAACTGCTGGTCCCCTGGTCTCCCTGGATCAACTAGTTTCCTGGTCTCACCTAGATATACAGGCTCATCATCATGTGGATACCCACTCACCACACATCAGTGGTATGGAATTTCAATCACATGAATGACATACCAAGTTGAAAAGGCTTCCGTTGCATACATGATAATGAATGGGCCAAGAGTACAGGGGCAGGTATCTGAAGTAGGCTGTGCTTGGGCAATAAAGAATCTTGAAGGTACTCATCTAAATATGGTGATTATGCAATTGTGTCAGAAAGAAAATGCATAGAGCTGTGCAAAATACAGGAGATGAATGGTCTTGGACCTTGTAAGAAACAGTGACAGATCAGAAGCTAAAATGTTTTCATCAGACCTATAATATGCCTTCCCAATGGTCTGTCAGCTATTGCTATGAAAGCAGCCAATGAGGATGACAGTATACATTGAAGGGTTAAAAATTCTAGGGGTAGCAAAAGTTAACAAGCATTAAAATTATTTATTATCTATACCTGCTTTGATTACCATTTACCCCCAAATATATGTAGAGATTTAGAGTGTTACAAAGCTGGGTATTACAATTCCTCTGACAGTGACATGATATTTTGGCACCACAAAATTTTCCTTGACTACGAGAACTGATTCTGTTTTATTCCTTGCAGGAGCCTAGTGCCAGCTGACCATTTGTATGAAGGTCGCCGAGGCCTACCTTCTAGATATTTTGTAATCCTGGTAAGTAGCACTGTTTGTGTCCCACTATCATGTAAACATATGCCTACTGATGACCAGGGTCTGTTATGACAAATCAATGTCATGAAGAAAGGTGAAGACAAAATAATCATGCTCAATAGGATTACACTAAGGCCCAGGCTAAAGGACAGGGTTAATGGGGGCCTATTTTCCTCAGGCCATTCTCAGAGGACACTGCACAGGCCCTCATTCACCCAGCAGTGTTTCACTGTCTGGGGAATCCTGTGATGTCCACGTGGTCTTCTTTAGGAGAGCACTTGGCCTGGCTCAGAAGGCACCTATTGGGACAATCTATTTATGTCAATTCTGCCAGGCATCAGCACTGTGCCCATGTCCATCAATTCTGTTCTTCATTTCAGTGATCAAGGTTATTGATTTGGTGCTCCAACCTTTCACCTTCAGGCAAATTAAAAGATCAGGTTAAATACCTTGGTCTCTTTTGGGTCTCTGCCTTCAGTCATTATAATGTATGAACTTCTAGGAATTCAGTGACATTTAAGGCATAGAACTTGGGCTCTCCATTCCTTTTGGGAATCACCTAGGCCTTAGAGCATGAGAAGATGATGATAATTCAAACTGCCTCTTCTTGTAGAATTCCAAATAGTAGATACTGGTAAAGAGAGCAGTGACTTTTTGGAGTGGTGGGACACAGGGAATGGGTCAGGACGTTCAAGCTCTTTTCCCTTGCTCAGCTCATTTGTATGTGAATGTGATCTTCATTTCCCTACCATAGTGTATATATCTAACTGCCATACTGATTGTTATTTCCAGAGCAAAAGCTCATGTTCTCACTGTGGCAGGAGGGTGACATGCTCTGAACTATCAAATATGACCCACAGGAATGTCCACTGTGCAGGCCCTACACTGCTGGGAGATCACTGGGTTACTTTTCTGGGGATCATAAGCCAGACATAGACTCACAGTGTTCAAGTGCACTACTGGACATATTTGAAAGCCAAACTCAGATACCTTTTCCTTTCATTAGGATTAGTGAGCTTGTCCTGTCATACAGGCATCAGGCAACATGAGGCAATTTGACAGTGTGCATCTGGGCAGGCATTCCCATCTTTGTCTAGGTATCTAGGCTTATCATCGTGTGGACAGACCCACTCACCACACATCTATGGCATGGAATTTCAACCACATGAATGGCATCCCAATCTGTGTAGGATTCTGTTGCATATGTGATAAGGGATGTGACAAGAGAACAGGTGTAGGGATCCTAAGCAGGCAGTGCTTGGGCATTTAAAAACTGTTAGGTTATGCATCCTACGCTGGTGTTTTGGAAGTGATTATCAGAAAATTATGAGATATTGCTGAGCAATGAACAGCAGATGATTGGTCTTGTACTTTGGCAAGAACAGAGCATGAATGCGAAACTGAAATGTTTTAAAGAGATCTGTATTTTTTCCTTCCAATCGTTGGTGTCTAATACTAGGACTGAAGGCAGGGACCTTAAGTTTGATTCAACTCTACGGTAAACTTATCTTGGTGCAGTAGAGACATAGAGGTTTTACTTACCTCCTATTGCCAATGTTTATATAGGTCCCAAATTATCCTACTTGAAAGCACTGGTCTTTCATTTACTGTGCATGGTAAATTTTCTGCCAAGACATGGCCCTTCATGCACCCCAAAAGTTGACTTGGAGGAAAGAACTGATTCTGCTTGATCCCTTGCAGGGACTAAATTTGACTCACCATTTGTCTGAAGTTTGCCAAGTACTACACACAGGGTCATCTTTGCAGTCCAGGAAAGAAGCATTTTTGTGTCTCACACTCAGGTATATGTATGCCTTCTGGATACTTAAGTATATGATGACATACCAATGTCCCAAAAAGAGCTGATGACATAGTAATTATGGTCAATTAGATAACGTTGAAGCTCAGCCTATAGGACAGGGGAGAAATGGCCTAGTCTCCTTGGTACTTTTACTATACCAGAACATTGCCCTCATTCACCCAGCAGTGTTTCCCAGTTATGGGAATTCTGTGTGATCCAGGTGAACTTCTTCAGGAGAGCCTGGAGCACTGACTCAGAATGCACTTGCTATGAAATTCTACATGTGTCAAGGCTGCTGAAGCCCAGCACATTAATCCTGACACCTCTTCTCTTCTGACATTCAGTGCTCCAGGATGCAAAGCTGAATCAACAACTATGAGACCTTCAGATATGCTGAATGATAAGCCCAAGATCCAGATTTTCTCCAGGTTGGGGTCTTCACCTATTGAAATGGCTGACATTCTATGCATACAATGACATACATGTGTGCTCCCTCATTTGGGAGTCCCATAACTAAGCACATTAGTCCAGTAGGGTAATAAAATCAGTCCTGTCTTGGAGAATTCCAAAGGCCTGTGACTTGAGAAACTGAGCAGTGACTGCATGGGGATATGTAGAGTAAAATTTTGGGTCAGGATGCTCAGGCCTTCTGCCTTACCTAGCTCAGTGGAAGGTGTATTTGTTGTTGAATTCCCTGCCTTTTGGTTTCAGTCTGCCTCCCATTCTGACTGTAACAGCCCAGGAAAGATTTTAGGGTTTTTACTGTGTCAGTAGGGTGACATACTACAAGATTGGAAAAATGAGCTTGAGGAATGTCCAGTGTGGAACTCTTGACTGCTCAGGAAAATTGGTAAGAGTCAACGTTATTCCTTTCAATTTAGAGATAAATACAACTGAACTTTTGAAAATTCAGTGAAGAATTCCAACATGGACGTTTTGTATAGTGATATTTTATCCCAACAGAAACACACAAACCACAAGGCATGCATTGAAAATGGTTCTGATATTACTTTGACATTACTTGTTTCATAAACATCCATTAACAAATGGCACTTGGGTACACACTGCATGATTCTATATAGTTAACATTGTTTCTTGACAAAATAAAAATTCCATACTGCATTGATAGACACAGGACAACTCAGTGCTTCTTTTAGAGAAATGAAGATGAAAACATAGGGGAGATCATAATGAGGAGAATGACCAATGTAGAAAAATCTCATAATGAATATATTCTCATGAAATCCAAATGCTGGAATGTCTCCTAAAATTTGTTAGAAGACCATCTTTGCCAATTCTGATGTGTTTTTTATATAGTTTATCCACTTTAAAAGCTCTGTGAATTTTCTCATTTTGATCATTAAAGCTGCAATTTTGAAATTCTTAAGTTCTCATGTCAAATGTTCATTCTGTTTGTGGTTCTTTAGCTCTGGTCAGAATCTGAGCAACAAGAAAACTGTAGAGTCCTGATCATCCATTTCAATGTCAAAGAGATTAGCTATTCTAGCTTTCCCATATCATTGGAAAGAGACCGGGGTTAAGGGAGAGGCTGTCTATATCTATGATGACAATAAGTCTCTGTGGATGGTGAGCAACTCATAAAAATGAAAATCTGAGGTCCAGGTGGGATGTTCTCTTGACAACAGTGATGTTTCCCAAATATGGCTAGCACTGTTCACTTTTGGTGGATGACAGAAAACAATGCAGACTGCTTTGTCTCCCATATTTTGAGGGATAAACAATTTTTAATGTGACAATCATGTAGTATCATATGATGAATCAATTTCTGTTACACTATACAAGTATGTACAATCACCCTTATTTTTTTCATTGATTTTATGAGGGTTTGAAAGAATGAATTCAAAGTGGGGAATCAGTGAATTCATCACTGAGAAGTACCGGGGCCCAGCATTGTGACATTCCTATATTGGGGAAAAGAGAAGAAGGATTGTAGTATTCCCTGCCACCATTACCGAGAATTTCAGAGGCTGCAGTATTTATATCCTGTCCCCAATTACCAGCAATGGAAGATAATTTAGGCTGTGTTAAATTATTGCTTTTCTGTTCAATTAACTAAACACATCTCGAGGGTCATAGTCATGTACCATCCAGACACCAAATCAATCCATGTACTCAGACTGACCAGAAAGTACCAATATCTTACTATCATGGCAACATATGGAGAATAGTGTATTTTTTGGATGATGAGGTCCACGACAGAAGAGTAGCCTTTGACACCCAACTTGGAAAAAATGGTTCCATTTCCAAGAGAACATATTCTGTGTTACTCCTTGCAGGAGACTAAAGCAACCTGACAATTTGTCTGAATTTCCCGAAATCTTACCCTCTAAACTCTCTTTGCCATGAGTTAAGGTGCACATTTTGTGTATCAATATCAGGTATATCTATGCATTCTGAGAACATGGGTCTATGATGACAAACCAATTTCACACAGAGTGGTGATGACATAAAAATCATTCTAAAGGATGGGGAAGAAATGGGGGCCTAGTCTCCTCTGACCTTTTGCATAGTCTAGCACACAGGCCCTCAATCACTTAACAGTGTTTCCTGATCTGGGGAATCATGTGAGGTCCAGGTGCACTTCTGTAGCAGAGCACTGAGCTTTGTGTTAGAAGCCACTTGCTGTAACACTCTACACATGTCTAGTTTGCCAGGAACAAGCAAGCAGCACACTTCCCATGTTATCAGCTGACTTTCAGTGATCTTGGTGTCAACTTGGAGCCACAGAGATGAGACCTTTAGATAAATGGAAAGAAAATCCCAAGGGCCAGGCTCTCTCTGGGGTCTGGACCTTCACCTAATAATACAACTGACCTTTTGAGTCATCCAATAACATTCACAGTAAAGCACTCATGTGCTGAATTCCTATTGGGAAAAACCAGTACCTAATCCCCAGAGTCCAGGATTCAAATTCAATCTGCCTTTCTGGGAGAATTCCAAAATCCCCAGACATGAGAAATGGAGCACCAACTGCATGGGGTAGGACTGCACAAGATTCAGATCAAGAAGTTTAGGCATTCTGCATTGCACGGATCAGTGATTGCACAATGAGATGTTGACTTTACTGCCTTGGTGTGTCTATCTGACTCCCATCCTGATTTTTCCAGCAATTGCAAGAGCTCTGGGTCTCACTGTGTCAGGATGGTGACATGCTCTGGGTTTGCAAATATTGGACACAGAAATGCACAATGTAAATGCCCTGGATTCATTGGGGATCACAACGTTACTTTTCTGTGGAATCCAAAGGTATTAGGAGACTCCCAGTGATCTAATGCTGTAATGGACACTGGTAGCATGACCAAATCAGATGCCTTTCCATCCCTTGGGATTAAGGAATTTTTCCTTTCACTTACGTATCAAAAATATTAGGCAAAGCAAGAGGGTGCATCATGCGATGCACACCCATTGTACCCTGAGATACATAGACTCAATATCATCTGGAGACCAACTCATCACACATAAGGGGCATGGTATATATATAAAGGATTCCCTAGCTTATATGATAATGAATTACACAGAGAATGTGAACAAGGATCCTAAGCAGGAGGTCAATGGGAAATTAAGAACCTTGTGGTTAAGCATCCTGCTCTATTGATTTGTAGTAATTTTCAGATGGTAATGAATTAGTGCCATGCAATAAACAGCTGATGATAGTCTTGGAACTTTTCAGGAACATGGCAAAGATCAGAACCTGAAATAATTTCAGTAGCCATGTATTGTGTTTTCCCAATGTTACATGGTCTAATTTTAGGAGTGAAGTCACAGAAGGCAAGGTTGAATCAACTAAAGGATTGAATTTACCTTTGGGCACCAGACAGGTAGCCACCATTAAACGTTTTCATTGCTTCAAGTGTGCCATTGATTGGAAATTGACCCTAATTATCCTGCTAGAGACAATGGTGTGATCAGATCGTGGGCATGGCAATTTCATCAGAACCTGACATGATGAGGTCCATGTCACAAGAGTAGGAAATTTTGACACCCAACTTGGGAAGTTTGCACTTCAGGTATTTTACAACATGTGTGTTTAATGAAGAAAACATAGAACTAACACATAATATAGTTTGCAAGTAGATACAACTCTGACTTGTACAAAGGACTTCACTCAGATCCATGCATCTGCAGAACACTCCCATGGAACACAGAGAGCTAGGTAGTTGCAAACAGACCTTGTAGATGGAAGCAGACACACTCAGTTTCTCATGTAACACCTATGAAACGCAAACCCTATATTCATAATCATTGAGATCCATCCAAATGAAGATCAAACAACATTTTTTTAAGTTTCACGGAGATACTATAAAAGGAAGTCTTTAGGAGTGTTGACATGTGTTGAATGGATATCTGTACCTAAAATTGTTTAAAGAAATGAAATTGAATAGAGAAACTTGTCCTAGCATAGTGGTAAAGTACACAGTTCTCACACCATCAATTAAATTCAAGAACTCCTCAAGTTCTTATAGAAAATGCCTATCTTTCAGACAGAAGAAGTTTACCATCTCATTTACAAGTGCAGCTGTCAGATATTCTGGAAAATATCTATGTTTGGAAGGGCATATGAAACACCTTTTTTGTGTAAGGTTTCAGCACCACCCCAAGGAATAAAACTCATGATTATACTTGCCAAAGAAGTTATGCCTTTCCAGAATTATCTTAATAATGACATAAATATCAAAAAGAACACCTGAGATCCTTTCTCAGAAGACATTCTCATTATGATCTTACATCCATGTATAGAAGAATTCAAAACTAGCATCTTTGGTATAGATGTCGTAACCTATCTGTGTTTGAGAACTACTTTCTCTACCTGTTCATGCTAGACTTAGCATTCGGACACAATTCCATCCATGACATAATTCCATTCCTATTTTCTTGCACGTTGAAGTTGCATTGTACTTTTCCCCTCCTGGCAGGATGAGGTAAGCATTGAATCTTATTCTGTTGTGTAGGTACCTCCTTTCTATGACTGGTGGTTTCAAACCTCGGGATATATGACTTCAGAGGTCCAAGGAAATAATTGCTATGATTTTCCTGTTTTGGCACTCAGGTTCTGATTCGTGAAATATGGATGACATTTATCCCATTTCAGCCCATTTTCATTCAAGTTCATATACCATGGAATTCCATTGTCAAGTCACCTAAAAGGTCACCAAATTACCTAGATCACTCTGTGCTTTTACAATGTAAAGATCCCCGTGGTGCGAAAGGCATTTTGTAAAGTCTCCTTTAACCACCTCAGTTGCAAGTTTCTGCTCTTAGGTAAATTAGACTTCTTATATCTCAATTCCTGTCTTGTTTTCTTATACCATTCTTCTTAAAATTCATCATAAGCCCATTTCTTAGCATCTGTTGCTGCTGCAGAATTTGAGAAATACAAGGGGGACCATTCCCTATGAATAACCCCAGAGAAGGGAGAAGACATATTATTATACAATTTTTCTGATTTATCTAGCTGTGATATCTGACAATGTACTCTCAGAGTTTTCACTAACTGATTTCTTTGCTTGTTTATCTAGGAAAGCATTGGAAACTTGTATTTAAGCCATGTGATAAACTTTTACTGCACTTTATCACAAAGTTGGAGCATAAGGTTAAACTCAGGATCCCCATGATCAGACACATTAGTAAAAATTAATGTTAAAAAATTAAGTTTTCTATTTAGGGAGAACTACAAGTGAAGTTTTGGAAATTTAGAGGAGTATTAAATGTGGTAGTATAGCAAAGAAGACCTCATCCAGAGAGAAAAACACAACAATATGCCAGTTCTAAAAATGCTTCTAATATTACTGTAGGAATTACTTATCATATACAAGCCCACGAAGGGATGGCATCTGATTACACACTGCATGATTCTACAAAGTTTTGACTGTTACCTGAAAAAATGGAAAATCCATACTGGATTGTGAAAGACAGGACAAATTCAGTGGTTATGTGTGGGAACTGAGGATGAAAATTCAGGGGAGTTCAGGAGGAGGATAAAGAAAAATATAGTAAGCATATCGTGGTAAATATATTTTCATAAAATCCAAAAGATAGAATGCCTCTAAAAATTTACAGAGGATGACTTTTGTCATTTTTCATGTGTTTTTTCTCAGCTTTTTATCCACTTTTCATGTAAAGCAGACTTCATTTCATAAATTGAGCCCATTAAAGCTCACTGAATTTTTTTGTTGTGTAATTAATTCTGGCAAATTGAACATTGATAACTTTTCAATGTGTATATATTTTACGAGGAAGGAGACACTCTATATGTGGTTTAGTAAGTCTGATCAAAACCTGAGCAGCAAGACAGCTGCACATTCCTTGCCATCCATTTCAAAGTCAAAGAGTGAATATTTCCAGCTTTCCTGATTTTAACTATTACTTTCCCCATTTTAAGGATGACATATTATTGTAAAGATAAACAGCACACTTGATGAGGGTAAAGGTAAGTATTTATTGTGGCAAGTACTTGCAAGAGAAAACTGTCAACCAAGGTGAATCAGAAGCTTTTGCTATAGTACTGGAAGTCCAAAAGTGAGCAATCATCACTCCTGTATCAACTTTTATTACCACCGCCACACATAAGTCTACCAAGCACAAAGTGGGTGTGGTTAGCAGAACAGTACACTTCCTTATATTACGACTTCTGAATGTGCTTCTAGCTACACCCAAGATGGGCGTGGTTAGTGGTGCTGTTCTAATATCTCTTCTAAAATTCCTCTTTTGTTCTAAAGAAAATATTTAAGCATAGAATTACACTAACTTCTGTCAATGTACCAAATATCTCAAACATCTATCCCATCTAAACCGAAGCTAATCTGAAGAAAATAACTAAGTCTGAATGACTTCCTTCTAATCCCAACCTTAAAATAACTGATAACTAACACTGTCAGGTGTAAACTATCCTGCAATGTCAAGAGGAGGATAAATGGATGTGGAATTCTCACATTTACTTCCTGCATAAATTGGATGATGACGATCTCATGGGGTAATGTGGGAAGAAAACCATTAGTGTAACAAGAATCTTAAGTAGGTTCGACATTCTCAGTTTGGCAGGAGATGCTTGATTGAATTTCTTGACTGGAACTCCAGTGTTAATTGAAGCTCTTATCCAAAGCTCTGGCAAAATTGTAGAAAGCACACTGTACCAGGTCCATGTTCTGGAATTATCAAGGGATGCAGTTCCAAGATAGTTTCAGGATGGTAGTTGTCATATGGAGTCATTGATGTGGGGCAGTTCAGATGCACCAAGACTAATCAGATGGAGTTCATGAACTGGGACCCCATTCTATTTCGAAACAGTTGAAGATTGTTGTTAGGAAATTCATTTTTCTATGAAAAACTCAAATATAAATGTTAACAAAGGAATTTTCAACTTTTAAATGTATTCAAATGTGGAAAGTCAACAGTAAAGAACATAGCAAACATGGAGGAGATAAGACATTCAGAAAAGGAAGTTTCAACAGATGCAAGCCCTAATTTTCTTATCCTTTACCTTGTATCAATGGCTCTTTGGTATAATACCGAAATTCTGAATTTATTTTAACAATATGCTTGCATTAAGAGTAGGAGAGCCAGTCCAACTCCAAAGCCAGCTTCAGTTACATGAATGGGGTATGAATAATATAAAGAAGCAAAAAGAAATGGATATCATAAAAACAATTTAAAGAGATTTAGATTTTGATACCACATACTGAATTATTATTTGTTTGATGGTCCTCAGAATAGCTACCCATTCTTCTTCAGGTATCCATATGTCTAGTATTTTTCTCTTTCGTTTTTGGAAATCTCCTTATCCATTGTAGAATATGACCTTGTAGAAATCTCCTTCTGTGGTTTCTTCTGTTTGGATCGAATTTTGATTCCTATGATGGAATCCAAAGTTTTTCTTCTCCTGTGGAAACAAAGGGAAAACCCTTTCCCCAAAGATACACATATCCTGGTTTCTAGACTGAGGTCATAACATCCTTGAAATACACTGGTGGTTCCATTCAGTTTTATCTGTAGTCCTGTGCCTTTCTGCAGCAGTTTTTACTTTTATTAGCATTAAGAAAGTTCAACATAATAAAGCATTTTGTAATCAGTGTGTTTGGGGTCTTTGTAAACCCTGAACGTTTATGAAGCATTTCTTTTAAGGTTCAGTTACATCTTTCAACCACTGCTTGGCCTATGATATTTGAGGTAAACTAGTTACAAGATTTATAATATAACATTTGAAAAACTGTTCCAATTTGCTGGAGACATATGCTGGAGCATTGTCAGCTTTTAATAGTGAAGTTACCCATAACAGTCACCTACTGAAAGAGTTGTGTAACGCCAGAATCGGCCATTTCAGAGCTGATGGTAGTAACCCATTGGAAGCCTGAGAAAGTGTTTATGGTAAGGTGTACATATTTCAAACATCAAAATTCTAGAACGTGAAAAAGTCCATCTGCCAAATTTCACTTCTGCATATAACTTTGGGATTACTGCCTGCTGGTAATGGACTTTGATTGTAGAATAAGCAGGTGGGACATTTACTTACTATTTCCTTGACTTGTTACCAAATGATAGAAAAATCCTTTAACTCTTTGCTTTTAACAAGGTGTTTCCTATGAAAGTCTGAAGCTTGCAACACACTTCCTACTAATGAAAGATTGTTCACATCATTTCCTTTTGCTAGAGTACATGGCTGAATTGTCATATATATATATATGGTTTCCTGTAATAGTAAAAATAATGAGGTTAATTCTGTACAATCATGAACAAATTCTGCAGTCTCAATGTGTAAGTCAACTCTCTGCATACTGAGAATCCATAACTATATTGAGAGTCTCTGTAAAGTCTTCATGTACCATGAGAATGACGTACAACTCTGCCCTTTGTACAGAGGTGTAAGCACTTTGAACTAGTTTACTTATATTTCATGATTTAAAAATGTCTTACCTGATTTTTTGCATCAATATAGAATGAAGGAACTCCTGACATAGGGCTTTTTCTCAAAATATGCATAAGAATCCAAATAAGTGAGAGAATAACTGATTCAGTTTTTGGAAAGCTCTTAGTAATCATTCACAAAAAGTTACTGCAAGCCGTTAGACTATATTCATCATCCTTCCATTAAGAAGAAATTTCCTTATTAATTAAAGGTACAATTATTACTGCTGTGTCTCTTCCAATCAGTTGACTAAGCCCTCACTAATCTTTTAATATCATATAAGAGATCCTTTCTATATACATTTTCATTTTTTTATTCTGTTTATGTGGCAGGAATACACATTCTAGTATGATGTACTCCTTGTGTATTAATATTCCTATTCTCTAGATGGTAAAACATCCAGAATGCAGTCTAGTTTTGGATTCAGATGGTGCAAATGCACTTCTAATATTCTCTTTTCAATCCATTCGAATTTTTTACAGCTGATAAGATTCGTCAAATATTTAGGTCTTTGTGTCTTTTTAAGTCCACTTTCAGGTGTTTTAAATCATGAACTTCTACCCCAATAATTATCTCTAAATTCTCAGAGGTCATAGGCCATTGACCTCCCGAGACAGGTTCATCTCTTTGCCATTTTAATGGTAGAATTTTGGGTTCCTCTATAGGTTTGGCACAAGCATCCTGTTTTATACAGCCTATAAGTTTGGCATTCTGTTTTCTATGTCTTACAATATTTTTTTCTACCACTAAGAGCTTGTCTATGATTCATATCTGATACAGGAGGAATGCTAATTTGTGTATTCCATTGCTGTAATAAAGTACGAACAACTTACTATCATGGTAACACATGGAGTATATTGTACTTTTTGATGATGAGGTCAATGTAACAAGAGCAGGTTTTGACACTCAACTTGGAAAGAATGACTTTCAGGTTTTTTTAACGTTTGTACCTATTGAGGAGCACATTGCACTCTGACATCTTATAGGTTGCAAAAAGATACAAGCCTGATTTGAATGAACATGTCACTCAGATCCATGACTCCTGAGAACACACCCATGAGAAAGTTCCATGCCTACAGAGAATACTCCCATGAGAACACAGAATGGTAAGGAGTTTTCCAGACACCTTAGAGACAGAAGCAGATGTACTCAGTTATTTTTATGTGTAAAGCTACCAAACTGCAAACCCTATGCTCAGAATTATTGAGAAACATACGAATGAAGATGAAAAAGGTTTTCTTTTATGTTTCACAGAGATGCCATAAGTGGAAGTCTTTAGGAGTGCTGACATGTGCTGAATGCATACCTGTACTTAAAAATGATTAATTTTCTGAGGATGTGGGTCTATGATTACAAAGCAATGCCATGAAGAGAGGTGATGACATAAAAATCATGCTCAATAGGATTACGCTGAGGCCCAGGCTAAAGGACAGGGCAGAAATGAGGGCCTAGTCTACTCAGGTCTTTATCATAGGCAGGTACACCTGCCCTCATTCACCCAGCAAGTTTCCCTGTCTGGGGAATCCTGTGATATCCTGGTGCTCTTTGATAGGAGAGCACTGAGCCTGCCTCAGAAGGCACTTTTTGGGGCAATCTATGTATGTCAAGGCTGCCAATCATCAGCACTCTTCTCATTTCCATCTCTTCTTTCCTGCATTTCAGTGATCCAGCATGCCTACTTTGTGCCCCAATCATTTCAATTTCAGGTAAGTTGAAATATCATTCTTCGTGCCTCCATCTCTTTTGGACCTCTGTATTCAAATAAGAGGAAGCATTAGTTCTTGGATTCCAGTGACACATTCAGTAAAGAATGTGTCCTCTCCCTTCATTTTGTGAATCCCCTAGGGAAAAAATCAGGAGAAACGATGGTAATTCAAACTGCCTTGTCTTGTAGAATTCCAATTAGTAGGTATTTTGAGGAAGAGCAGTCACTGTTCAGGGAGGTGGGACACAAGGATTGAGTCAGGACATTCAGGCCCTGTCCCTTTCACTCCTATGTGATAGTTGAATGTGATCTTGAAATCCCTGCCTCGGGGTGTCTATCTCCCGTGCTAATTGTTACTGCCAGGGCAAGAGCTTCATTTTCTCGCTATGTCAATAGGGTGAAATGCTAAGAAATTGCAAAGATGTTGCTCAGGAATGTCGACTATGCAGGCTCTGGACTGCCAAGATATCACTAGGTTACTTTTCTGGGGCTCCTAAGACAGAGAAACACTCCCAGTGTTCTAGTGCACTTATGTACATATCAGTAAGGCAATCTCATACCTTTTCTGTTAGAATTAGTGAACTTGTCTTGCCATGCAGGCATCAGGCAACATGAGGCAGTTTGACAGGGTGCATCTGGCCAGGCATTCCACTCTTTGACTAGATGTGCAGTCTCATCATTATGTGGAGACCCACTCACCACATCAGTAGAATGGAATATCAAACACATGAAAGGCATCCAAGATGCAAAGGCTTCCCTTCCTCATGTGATAAGGAATGTGCCCAGAGAACATGTGTAGGCATCCTAAGCTAGCAGTGCTTGGGAAATTAAGAACTTTGATTGTACCCATCTTATTATGGTAATTAGGCATGTATAATTATGACTGCATGAGACCTGTACCTATGATGACATACTAATTTCCCAAAAAGGTTTGATGACATAGAAATCATGCTGAATAGGATTACACTAAAGGTCAGCCTATTGGACAGGTGAGAAATGGGGCCATTTTCTCCTTGGGCCTTTGAATAGGTCAGTAATGGACTCTCATTCACAAGCAGAAGGATATCGGGACCAGGAAGGGGGCCTAGACCACACGCTGCCATCTCTCCTCTGCCCACTGCCCTCTACACCTCTGCCATCTGTCCTCTGCCCTCTGCCCTTGTTCTCTGCCCTCTTCCCTGAGTGGGGAATGGTGTAGGCAGGCTCACTCAGTAGGCTCCTGGTTTCTCATTCATCCAAGAACAATACAAGCATGCTGCAGTTCCAGGAAATACCCTTTCTGTTACTCTTCACAAATTGGAACATAATAAAATTCTCAGGAGACTCATGATCACACAAATTATCAAGAATAAATGTTACATAAAAAAACTTTCCTATTTGGGGCTCCATGCAACAGAACTTTTGGAAAATACAGAGAGCAATTACAGCATTGCAGTATACAATATAAAGAAAATATACAGACAGAAACCAGTAAACCACAAAGCCTACACTACAAATGCTCTGATATTGCTGTTGACATTAACTATCAGATGTACATGCATGAAAGTGATGGCAATGAAATACACATTTCAGGATTACCTAAATTTGACAGATGAAAGACAAAACAGACAGTCCATAATGACTGTGGGTCACAGGAGATACTCAATGGTTATGTGAGGGAGATAAGGATCAAATCATAATGGTGATTTGGAAGAGGAGGAAGATATATATAGCAAGCATCTCATGATGAATATATTCTAAGGGAATCCAAAAGATGGAATGCTTATTAGAATTAGAGGATGACATTTGACATTTTTGATGAGATATTTTAATATTTTATACAGTTTTATATAGAACACACTTCAATTTATAAAATGAGCCCATATAAAGCTATGTGAATTTTCTCTTTCATATGAGTAATGGAGGCAAATTTGACATTGAAATTTTTTTCAGCTGATGTATGCCTGAAAATGCAGGAGCCCATATGTTCATTCTCCCTGTTGTTCAGTGCCACTGTTCAGAACCTGAGCAACAAGACAGCTGCACTGTACTTACCATACACATCAAAGTCAAAGCAACTAGCTATTCCAACTTTTCTGTGACAATGGAAACATTCATGAGTTGAGAGGGCACATGTTTGGATCAATGATGACAAAAAGTCTCTGAGCACGGTGATCAACTCAGGACTATGCCAATCTGAGGTCCAGATATGGGGTCCTCTTGACAACAGGGATATTTCCCGACTGTGGCTAGCACTCATCCCTTTTGAAACATAACAGATATCTCTGCAAAACTTTAAGGTTACAATAGGTCTTTGTGTGGCAAACATGTCGTGTCATTTGACACATCACTCTATCAAACACTAACTGTAATACTAAGAGCAACAAACAGTCTACTATGGTTTTAAGGCATTGACTAGTGGCAGCTTAGGAAAAATAATTGAAAGATGTTGAATCAGTGAAATCGTCACTGAGCATCTCCTAGGCCATACTTGTAACATTCCTATATTGAGGAGGAGAACGAGAGATTGGAGGATTCCCTGCCACCATTATCTACAATTTTAGAGGCTGCAGTCTCTTCTTCCTGTCACTAATTATCTGCATTGGGAGATAATGTACTATGTTGTTACAATCATTGCATTTCCATAATATAACTGAACATTTCTTGATGCCAGTGGTCATCTGACCATCCAGACACCACATCGATCCACTTCCACATTCAGAAAGAATAAGGACCAACACCTTACTATCTTCAAAACATATGAAGAATATTGCCCTTTATTTAAAGTAGTGATCATTGTTGCAAGAGTAGTGTTTGACAGCCAATTGGCAAGAATGACCTTCACGTTTTGAAAGATGTGTTTATTTAATGAGGAGCACATTGCACTCAGACACCTTTTGGTTGTATATACATACATTTCAACTTGCAAGAAACATTTCACTTTGGTCCATGACTCGAGTACATTCCAATGAGAATACAGAGATTTAGGTATTTGCATACAGAACAAAGAGAAGGAAGTAGACACACTCAGTTTCTCAAGTGTAACATTGATGAACAGCAAACCCCATAGACACAATCCATCCAAATGTAGACAATGGAATATTTTTTATGTTTCACTGAGATGTCATGAATGAAAGTCTTAAGCAGTGCTGACATGTGTTAAATGGATGCCTGTATGTAAAATTTTTAAATGAAAAGGAAACTGATTATAGAAACTTGTCATACTGTAGTGTTAATGTATATAGTTCTCACACAGAAACCATCAAGGGAATTTTAGGTTGCTGTGAACTTCTCATGTTCTTATTGAAAATGCCTTTTTTTCAGAAAAAAAAAGAAGTTTACATTTCTCATTTACAAGTGCCAAATATTTTGGAAAAAAATCTAGAATAAGAAGGGCATCTAGAAGGCTGTTTTACATGCTAGACTTCAGCACCAACACACGCAATAAACCACGTGATGATACACAGCAAAGAACAAGTGCCTTCCCTGAATCATTTTAATATTGACATAAATACCATAACGAACATCTGGCATCATTTCTCGGAACACATTCTCATTATAATATTACAGCTAGGAAAAGGAGACACAACAAAAATATCTTTGATATTGATGCTATATCCTCTTTGTGTTTGATGATCACTCCCTCTAGATGTTCATGTTAGACATAGCAGTCAGGATACAGTTCCATTCAATATATTTTTGTTTCTATTTTGTTGCAGGTTGGAATTACAAAGGACTCTTAACATTCAGGCTCAATAGGTAAGTACTATATTCTATTCTGCTTTTCTGGTAATTCCTCACTATGACTGGTGATTTCAGATGCTCGGGGTCTAAGATGTCAGGCATCCAAGGAATAGTTTTTCAATAATACACATTCCCATGACGTTGATGGCAGTAGTATACACATGGCAGGATTCTCCATAGTACTGACAGTTGGACGACAAACTGAAAAGTCTATTATGTATTGTGCTACACCAGAAAAACTCAGTGTTTAACTGACAGAGATGAGTATGAAAACCTAAGGGAGATCAGGAGGAGGAGGAAAATGAATGTGACAAACATTTAGTGATGTATATATTCTCATGAAACACATAAGCTTGATTGGCTCTTAAAATTTATTAGAGGAGGACAATTTCCAATTTTTATGTTTTTATATAAAGTTTACTAATTTTTTAAAACCCAATTAAGTTGTTTAAATTCAGCGCCATGAAATCTCTGTGAATTTTGTCTCATAAAAATGCTAACACATTGGACACTGATCTTCTTTCAGTTCTGTATGCTTTAAGATGCAGAAGTCCATATGTTCACTCTGTCTGTTGTTCAGCACCTGTATTCAGAATCAGTGTAACAAGCCAGTTGCACAGTCCTGATCATCTATTAAAGTCAAAGTGACTACAAATTGCAAATGTCTCGAGTCTATTGAAACACTCATGAGTTAAGAGAGGTCTTTTCCAGATCAACGATGTGTACAGTATCTGAGGATGGTGATTGACTCATGACTATGCCAATCTGACTTCCAGATAGGAGGTCCTTTTGTCAACACTGATGTTTCACAAATGTGGCTGTTCTCTTCCCTTTTGAAGTATCCTATGAAACATGATTTTATGTAATACTAACTATAACACTAACAGGAACCAACATTCATACACATTTTAAAGCCATTGACTGATGCCAACTTGTCAGAAAGAATTAAAATTATGGAAGCAGTGAAAAAATCACTGAACATTAAACAGTCCAGGTCCTGTGATATTCCTGTATAGTGGAAAGCAGATGAAGTTGTAGAAATCCTGCCACTCTTACCAAGAATTTTGGAGCATGCAGTCTATTCTTCCCATCCACAATAACTGGCAAAGGGAAATAATTTACCATGATGTGAGGATCATTGCTTTTCTGTACATTTAACTAAATATATCTGGATGGCAGTGTTCATTTCACCATCCAGCCACTACAATAATTCAATTACACATTCTGACTGAATCAGTACCAAAATCTAACTATCATGGTAACATATGGATTATATTGTACTTTTTTGATGAATCAGTTTAACTCACAAGAGTAGTATTTGAATACCAACTTGGGAAGAATGATGTTCAGGTTTTTTATAACATGTGTATTTAATGAGGAGCACGTTCCATTCAGAAATATTAGAGATTACAAACAGATACAATTCTAAGTTACACCAAGAACTTCACTAAGATCCGTGCCTCCTAAAAACACTCCCATGAGAACACAGAGTGCTAGGTAGTTGCACAAACCTTACAGACAGAAGCAAACACACTGAGGCTCTCAAGTGTTACACTGATGAACCAGAAATGCTATAGTCAGAGTCATTGTGATCCATACAAATGAAGATCAAACAACATTTTTTTATTTTGCTACGATACCGTAAAATGAAGTCTTTAGGATTGCTGACATGTGTTGAATGGATACCTGTACCTAAAAATGTTTAGTGAAAAGGAAACTGAATAGAGAAACTCGTCCTACCATAGTGGTAATCTACCCAGTTCTCACACGGAATCTATCATAAGAATTCTAGGTTGCTGTGCACTTCTCAAGATCTTATAGAAAATGCCTTGCTTTCAGAATAAAGAAGTTGACCATCTCATTTACAAGTGCCACTGTCAAATGTTCTGGAAAATATCTATGTTGTTGTGTAATGTTGCAGTCCTACCCCAATCAATAAAACCCATGATTATACACATCAAAGTACTTTTACCTTTCCTGGAGTATCTTAATATTGACATAAATATCAGAAAGAACATCTGAAATCCTTTCTCTGAACACATTCTCATTATGATCTTACATCCAGGTATAGAAGAATTCACAATTAACATCTTTGTTATAGATGGCCTAACCTGTCTTTATTTGAGATACACCTCCTCTACAAGTTCATGCTAGATTTAGCAGGCAGGACACAATTCCGTCCGTGATATTTTTCATTTCTATTTTGTTGCAGGTTGGAATTGCAAATGCCTTTCCCCTTTCAGGCAGGAGAGGTAAGCATTGAAAATTATTCTGTTGTGTAGGTACCTGGTAATTATGACTGGAGATTTCAAACCTTGGGATCCTTGATTTCAGATGTCAAAGGAATATTTTGCTACCATTCTTCTTACTTGGCAGTATATTTTGATTCATTCAATGTGGATCACATATTAGACATTCAGAAAAGGAAGCAAGTTTCAACAGATAACATCCCTCATTTTCATATCTTTTGCTTGTATCAATGGATCTTTGGCATAATACAGAAATTCTGAATTTTATTTTAACAATATGCTTGCATTCAGAGTAGGAGAGCCAGTCCAACTCCAAAGCCAGCTTCAGTTAAATGAATGGGGTTTAAATAAAATAAAGAAGCAAAAAGAATTGAATATTATAAGAAATAGTTTAAATAGATTTAGACTTTGATAACACATACTGAATTATTATTTGTTTGATGGTCCTCAGAATAGCTACCCATTCTTCTTCAGGTATCCATATGTCTAGTATTTTTCTCTTTCGTTTTTAGAAGTCTCCTTAACCTTAGTAGAATATGATCTTGTAGAAACCTCCTCCTGTGGTTTCTTCTGTTTGGTCTAATTTTGATTAATATGATGGAAACCAACTTTTTTCTTCTCCTGTGGAAACAAAGTCAAAACACTTTCCCCAAAGAAACACATAGACTGGTTTCCAGACTGAGGTCATAACATCCTTGAAATACACTGGTGGTGCAGTTCAGAAGTTTTCTCTGTAGTGCAGTGTCTTTCTGCAGCATTTTTTACTTTCATTAGCATTAATAAATTTCAATGTTAATAAAGCATTATGTAATTCCTGTGTTTGGGGTCTTTGTAATCCCTGTTTTTTTATGAATCATTTCTTTTAAGGTTCAGTTAGATCTTTCAACCACAGCTTGTCCTGTGAGATTTGAGGTATACTAGTTATAAGTTTTATATTGTAATATTTGAAAAACTGTTCCAATTTGCTGGAGACACATGCTGGTGCATTGTCAGCTTTTATTTGTGCAGTTATACCCATAACAGCCACCAACACAGAGAGTTGTGTAATAATAGAATGAGCATTTTCAAAGCTAATGGCAGTAACACATTGGAAGCCTGAGAACGCTTGTATGGTATGGTGAACAAATTTCAAACTGCCAAATTCTAGAAAGTGAAAAAGTCCATATGCCAAATTTCATTTCCGCAAATAACTTTGGGATTATTGGCTGCTGGTAATGAACTTTGGTTGTAGAATAAACAGGTGGGACAGTTTCTTACTATTTACTTGACTTGTTACCAAGTGGTGGAAAAATCCTTCTTTAAACCTTAGCTGTTAACATGGTGATCCATATGGAAATCTGAAGCTTGCAACACACTTCCTACTAATAAAAGATCGATCAAATCATTTCCTTGTGCTGGACTACATGTTTTATGTGTCTCATATACATATATGTATATATATGCACACACACATATATATATATGATAGTTCTGATATTTCTGACAGTTTCCTGTAATGACAAAAACAATGAAGTTAATTCCATACCATCATGAACAAATTCTGCAGTCTCTGTTTGTAAGACAACTCTCTTCATACTGAGAATCCATAAGTATATTGAGAAGCTCTGTAAAGTCTTTACATAACATGACAAAGACATACAACTCTGCCCTTTGTACAGAGGTATAAGGGCTTTGAACTATTTTACTTGTAATTCCTGATTTATATAATGCCTTACCTGATTTTTTGCTTCAGTGCAGAATGAAAGAACTCCAGACATATGTGTTTTCTCAAAATATGCAGAAGAATACAAATAACAATTCTTTATGAATTTGATTCTCTCTGTTTTGGGAAGATTGTTACTAATCATTCATAAAAATTTACTACAAGCCATTAGCCTATATTCATTATCCTTCCATTAGGAAATTTCCTCATTAGTTATTTAATTATCTCATTACTGCTAGGTTTGTTACATTTAGTTGACTAAGCCTTAACTAATATTTTAATATCAAAACAGAGATCTTTCCTATATATTTTTTCAATTATTTTTATTCTGTTTATGTGGCAGGAATACCCATTCTAGTATGATGTACTCCCTGTGTATTAATATTCCTATTCTCTTTTTTATTTATTTTTTTTATTTTATTTTCCAGTTTAAATTTAGATAAGAAACAAGGTTGCTTCACAAGTCAGTTCCAGGTCCCTCTCCCTTTCCCTCCCCTCCTCCCGTGCCCTCCCCGCAAACCCCCGCTGTTATCCCCTCATTCCCCCAGGGAGGGTGAGGCCCTCCATGGGGGTGTCCATAGTCTGTCATTTCATATAGGGCAGGGCCCAAACGCTTCCCCAAGAGTACAGGGTGAGAGTGCACCTCACATTGTTCTATTGGAGTCCAAAGGCCGTGTGTATATTTGGGATGGGTACTGATCTGCTGCCCAAGGCTCAATAGATTACCTAGGCCTCCTCACTGACACCCAGATTCAGGGGGTCTTGATCAGTCCCATGCTGGATTCCCAGGCTGATGCCTGGGATTCAAGAGTTAACCTTTGTCTGGTCAGCTGTTTCTGGGGGATAAACCAGCTCAGTCTTAATCCCATTGATCAACAGTCCTCCCTCTCTGTTACTGGCTTTCTTGAGTTCAGCTCAGTACTTACCCGGGGGAGTCTGCCTCTTCTTCGAACAGCCACTAAATGAAGTTTCTGTTTCCCAGACTCTCTGGCCATAGTATTGTAGGTTGGCACTCCCCAGATCTATGTCTAAAATTCATATATGAGAGAGTACATGCTATGATTCTCTTGTTGTGACTGGGTTACCTCACTCAGGATGGTTTCTTCTAGTGTCATCCATTTGCCTGCGAATCTCATGATTCCATTATTTTTTTCTGCTGAATAGTACTCCATTGTGTAAATGTACCATATTTTCTCTATCCACTCTTCGGTTGAGGGACATCTAGGTTGCTTCCAAGTTCTGGCTATTACAAAGAAAGCTGCTATGAACATAGTGGAACAGACATCTTTGTTGTATGATTGGGCATCTTTGGATATATGCCTAAGAGTGGAGTTGCTGGGTCTTGTGGTAGGTTTATTCCCATTTTTCTGAGGAATCTCCATACTGATTTCCAAAGTTGCTGAACCAGTTGGCACTCCCACCAGCAATGGAGGAGTGTCCCCCTTTCACCACATCCTCTCCAGCATAAATTATCATTGGTGTTTTTGATTTTAGCCATTCTGACAGGAGTGAGATGGTATCTTAGTGTTGTTTTGATTTGCATTTCCCGAATGGCTAAGGATGTTGAGCACTTTCTCAAGTGCCTCTCAGCCATTTTAGACTCCTCTATTGAAAACTCTCTATTTAGTTCTGCAGCCCACTTTTTAATAGGATCCTTTGGTGTTTTGGAGACTTGCTTCTTGAGTTCTTTGTAAATTTTGGAGATCAACCCTCTGTCAGATTTGAGATTAGTGAATATTTTTTCCCAATCTGTGGGCTGAATTTTTGTCTTGCTGTGTCCTTTGCCTTATAGAAGCTTCTCAGTTTCAGGAGGTCCCATTTAT